AATTTTGTGACATGACCTTACTGACATGTTTTGTAAAACATTTCAAAACCGTATTTTCAGTTTGGACCCATTCACAGTCCGAGGTTTAAAAACCAAAAGCTATGATACCAATAAATATAACCCCCTATACTCGGCCTATACGTTTCGGCTAAGTCTAACGGATTACATTAAAGATTCTGAAAGACATTATTCGGATTACTCGGCCTATATGTTTTTCAAAAAACATTATTCAATAATTTAAAATCATGTTACAAATGACCTTGATATAAAAGTATATAATAATTAACGATAAAAACTAAATTCGAAAATATAAAACATGAAAGATACCAGGTAAAATATTACATAAAATAAATCTGGAGCATCGAAAATCAAATATCAGTAACAACAACAGAAAACGTCATAAAACGATAAATACTTCAAAAATGAGGTACATGTCACCATAATTAAAAAAAGTTCGGAAAACAGAATATTACAACAAAATACTCTAAACTAAATGTACCAATCCTCCAAGTGCCTGATACGGAGTGTCTATCCGAATGTATCTGAAAGGGGTAAAACAATTTGAAAAGTGAGCTAGAGGCTCAGTGTGTCCCAACAGTGCAGAAATAAAAACATATAGATATGATTTTCAAAACCAGTGCAGATCACAATCATTAAAACATCATAGGAGTTTTTAATTTAAAAACTCTGCATCGTCCTCCAACCGAACGCCATGTGCAGATCCCTAGACATGCATAACCTAAGGGAGTACCTTGGGGCCTACGAGCCTACCCAAAACAATTCTCGGGGCCACAAAGGCTTACCCAAGAAAATCTCAGGACCGTAGAGCTTACCCAAGGCTCAACTTAGGTCCATAAGGAATTACCAATCGGTGCTGAACCTATCCGAGGAATTACCAACAGCGATTGAACCTACCAGATTCTTCATACCAGAACCCAGAGTACCCCGTAGAAAACATTTTTCAGACGGTAACCAGTAGTAACAGTAATTCAGAGTTCATACAGATTATCAGTTCAGTAATCCAGTGTTCAGAAATCAGAATTCGGGCAATCATGCTTTTCATTTCAGTAAATCCAAAATCAGATAAATCATTCAGTAGACAAATAAGTTCAAACATTATATTTCAAATCATAGAAAATAATCATGTGCACATAAGATTTCAAACAGTTATTTAAAACATTTATTCTGCACATAAGGAACATACCTCGATAATAGGGTCAGTCCGAAAGATCTATCGAGCACCAGCTTCACTAGGCTCTTCAACTGAACGGGAACTTAAGCCATATCAGAACAGGGTTATATTCAGAACAATATTCTAAACAGAATAACTAGCAGGGTTTTAGAAATATAGGAGTATTCACGGCTTCTTGTGAACGAGCGGATCGGGAGTAACCGGGTCGACTAGTGAAACAGTCTAGAGATCCCCGAGTACCTTTAACATAACTATAATTAGTCCTTCACCATTCTGTTCAATTCACTAAATTAAAACACTTAGATAAATATAAAATTTTCAGGTTTACGGGCTAATTCTGAGGCTTTCGAGTTTGAATTTGACCTAACGGATTGCGGAATCGGAATCAGGGCGTCGAAAAACCTATAATATGACTTTTTGAAAATTTGAATTCTTGGTCAAAGTCAAAGTCAAAGTCAACAGGTTTGACTGACGATTTGGAGGCCTTCTGGTTCGAATTTGGAGAAACAGACTTCGGAAACGGATTCGGGACGTCGAAAAATGTCAGAATAGGTATACTCGAACAAAATCAAAGGTCGTTTAATGGCCGATTAAAGCCACTCAAAGTTATGGTCAAATGTGCTCAAAAGTCCACAGTAAACTATTACGAAAATAACATTTTTTTTAATAATTACAAAAATATCACTATTTAACAATAATTACCAAAATATCGCTTTTTAGAAATAATTACCAAAATATCACTTTTCAAATTACCAAAATATCACTTTTTTAAAAATAATTACCAAAATATCACTTTTTTGAAATAATTACCAAAATATCACTTTTTCAAAATATTTACGAAACTAACATTTTTTAACAATATTTACAAAAATACCACCATAACCGAAATTAATTACGTATAAGTCATTCTTTCAAAACTATTTACAACAATCTAAACCAACAACTATAATATGTTTTCAATCTAAACACTGAAATATTATCCAAATTAAACGATATGACTTTACCTACGACGGACGGACGAAACAAGACGGTCGTTGAAATGGCCAGAATCGACAAAATTAAAACAACGATCGGAGTTTTGGGTGTCTATTTCCCTTCTCGGTTCGGCCTAACTGTGACCGATTTCGGAGAGAGGTTGGTCGGGATCGATTCGCGAAGGTCAGGCGCACCTGATGGAGGTGGCGATGTTGTCCACCGCCGGCCGGAACAAGGAGGAGGAGGAGGGTGGAAGCTAGCTTAAATGAGGAAAAATGAGTTTAACATACGAGGAAGATGAATCTGCCAAACTTGATAATCCTCCACGTTTTAAACTAAAACCAACCTTATTTTATTTTAAATAATAAAAAAATACATTATAGCATGGTGAATCATCCATTGTTTGCCACTAACCTATTTTAATGTTTAAATCCTATAGTGATCAATCCATTATCTCCCACTAACATTTTTTTAATTGTTTAAAACCCTATGCCCCCATTATTTTACTCTTAGTGCTCTATATTTATTTTTATATTATAGTGGCAATTTATGGGGTGTGACAATCCGAATCACTTACCATTGATTGGCTGAACGAAAACCCTTAAAAAGACTTAAATGTTAAATTTGAAATAAGAAGCCGAATCGGATTAAGATATAATATGCTAATAAACACAACAAAAAAAGATGAAAATGATAATAAAATAACATAAGGAAAACAAATAAAATGATAAAATGAATAAGCATGACATAAAACAAAAATAAATGAATAAGAAAACAATAAGAATAAAAATAAAAAGCATACAAAGAAACAAAAATAAAATGAGAACTAAGAAAAAAAAAAGGAAATGAAACATACACAAAAAAGAAAAAAAAGAAATGAAATAATAATAAAAATATACATAATATTTATACGATAAGTTATCGTATTTAATAAAATTAGTAAAAACAATTGTTAAGAAAAATAATAAAAATATATAATATTATGCATAAATAAATAAATATATTCATAAACGCTAGGAAGGTGAAAAAAATAAAAATAAAAAATGAACATATATATATAAGAAAATAATAAATATTAAAATAATAATAAGCATAAAAAATAAATATAAAATATATATATATATATATATATATGTATATAATAACGTTAAAAAATAAAAATATACAATGTTTAAATAAAAATGAGAAAAAGAAAAAAATAAATTGGCTTTCGAAAGTGACTAAATTGGAAGAATCAAAAACATAGAGGTCAAATTTAAGAACAAATTAGTGACCAAAATCGAATTTAGGGACCTAGAAAAGTTCATAACAAAATCTGAGGGACAGAAAGGCGATTTTCCCATTTCTGAGTGATAACACACGGGTCACGCGTGTACGGGTCGGGTCGGACGGGTCAATTCGGGCCATGTATAAATGCCAACATTAAACACATTTTTCATTCCATTTTCAAAAAACAAAAATCAACCCCCCATTTCATTTTCTCTCAAGTGTTCTTGAGCCTTTGAAGAACACGGCCGGATTTCCTTATTTTCCAGAACCCGGCCGCCGGTCATCGGCGGCAAATCGATTTTTTTTAAACACGAGAGCTTTTTCACCCCTCTTTTCAAAAATGAATTTTGTTTTTTTAAAATAGCATCGGAAGGGTAGATCTACGAAAATAGTTTCGAAAACACCCCTCCCCGGTCCTCGGCCAAACGATTTTTGGTGGTTTCAAAAACCCTAAATCAAGAGGGTTACATGTTTATTTATAATTAAAAAAGACTATATTTAGAATCCTATTTTAACTAGAATCCTAATGCTTGTTGGCTTCTCTTGTGGTTTGTTCTTGCTTCGTGCGTGGCATTGGTGAGGCCGAGATTCTTGCGCCGGATGGTTCGGGCTGTTGGAGGCAAGAGACGTGCGACAGTGAAAGGCGTGAAGTGCGGAGGAGAAGCGGCGCTGATGGAGCTGCTAGGGTTTATAGAAGCTTGTGTGTTTGGGCTTGCGTATGTGGGTCTATGTTGGACCAGAGTGGTCTGTTGGGCCACGTGTGGCCTGGTTTCGGGCATGTAAATATAAACATGAAGTGTAAAAAATATGTATATATATTATGTAATAAAATAAAGCAAATATGTAAAATAATGCAGGACAAAATTTAGTGTCTTCAATTAGTAACAATAATAATACTATTCATTAATTAATTAAAGTAAGTAAGTAATCATGTTGATGATTAAATTGTAAAAAATAATTTCAAGTTGAAAAAAATTAATTTGAGTTAAGTGGGAAATTAGAATAATCAAACTATAATTAAACCAAAATAAAAAGAAAAAGAAAGGACGAATTTTAAGTTGGGTCGATGCGAGTCGACCTAAGTGAACACATTGTTTTGGGGGTCGAATGAATTCTTCCGATATAACGTTTTTTTAAAGTAGAAATTATTTTGATTACTTTCCGATATTGTCGTCTTTTGATGTCTTTTTTTATCATTGACTATCACGAAGATGATCGAAAATCCTCAAAAAAAAATTTAAAATCCTTTTTTACCTTTGAACTCAAATCTAACCTTTTAATTAAAAATACCTAAAATCTCTGGATCTACAAAAGGCACATGAGTCCTATCTTTCAAATGCGAAATAAAAAATTAAAACTCGAGCTCAGGAAAAGCTAAACTTGAAATGTTCTCAAATTTAATTTGATTGAAGTTTAAAATCAAGCACGAATATGAATATTTAAGTATACGTTAAGGAACACTTTTTCTTGTATTGATAATAAAAACTAAATTAAGCAGATAAAGGTCAAAGTTGGAATCATCGTACAGGCAAACAAGAACACATTATTTAAAAAGGAATCAAAGTTGTCAGAGAGAGATGCGCATTGGCATCCTAATTAAAAAGTCACGAAAGTTAATACACTATTAAATCCACCACATTACACACAAATAACCATGCAAACACAGATATGATGAAATGTGCTGATATTCCATGAAAAGGAATGCGTACGCCATGCATGCTTTCTTATATTTATTTCATGTATCATCATAATCATGGTAGCCATCCCGTCATGTAATTATTCACACTCGGACCCCCAGTGACGGCCGATATCGTATCCGGCTGATATCTGCAATCCAACATAATCGGGACAGTTACTTAAACGGTAGACTATTATAGCTACATATTCAAATTCGTTCTAGTGTCGAATGTGATACCCGATATGCAATGTTGGCTCGCAGTCCAATGGATGGAAGAAGACATCGCCAGCCTGAGGCTGATGGGCTGGTTGTCGGCCGTAGCCGACATCTTCGACGTTTGGGTTCAACTGAAGTGAGTTTACTTGATACCCTTCCATCAACTGCAAAAACAGTCGGTTCTCTCAAGTTATTAAATATGGTCTTTGGTAATCTTAAAAGTAGTTAAAAAAGGAACTTACCCTTTGTTTTAGGGTCCTGTTGGCTTCATTAAGTAGATATTCCTGCATCGAAGAGAATGAAACATAGTTGCAATGCCGAGGAATTTAGTCATTTTGAACGTAAATAAGTTAGTGGCATACCTTTCGTTGGAGGTCAGTGAGCTGATCCAACATGTATTGAGTCTACAACAGATTTACTCAAAGATCAGATCAATTCCAATTTAGAAACACAAACAAATAGTAAAGTTCTTTCACTGCAATTTCCGTAAAAGGACAAAAATGCAATCTGATCAGCGTACCCGTGTTGATCGGATCAGCTTTAACGACGAATCGAGCTGCCTCTCGAGCGACTCGAGCTCTTTGCTGCTCAAAGGGCCAAGATCTTCTCCTAGTAAATTCCTTTGGGACCTCTGTAAGGCTTCATATCGTGCCTTGAGCTTCAGATATTCCTGCTGACTGCTAAGCTCCTACAGAGACGGTATGAAAATGATAAATTTAAAGCATGGATTCGTTCTCCACTAAACACTAAATTTGCAGGAAACTTAAGTACTGGAGAAACATATGCACAATCTTACAGGAAAACACATCTATACCTACTGTATGAAGTTGTTAACGACTACCTTACCTAGACTATCATACAAACAAAAATGCTAGTGTTACGCCTTAGAGAGGTGGAAGACATTCAGAACCGATTATACGGGAGCACCTTGAGCTATTACTCGAGGCCTAATTTTTACCTTTATGATTAAGGGTCCAATTTATTTTATTATCTCTTAATTGTATTTAAGGTGTTTTCTTAACAAAATAATAAAAATAACGTGTTTGACAAATATTATGGTTTATTAATGTAATATTAAAATAATTATTCAAGATAATAGAATATACTTTCATTTTATATGGTCCATTTTTGAGTTTGTGCTCAAAGTCCAGAAAATATTCGAGACGACTCTAAAAAAAAGAAAAATCTTGGAGTTTATAAGTGGTGGCATTGCATATTCTATCATACATGTTCTTTTTAGAAAGAGTGTAATAATTAGGGTTTCAAATCACGGTCGCGGTCGCGTTTTTGGTTATTTCGGATTTATCGTGATTGCGGCCATTGCGGACACTATTGCAGCCGTCGCGAGTAACTCGGACAGCGACGAAACCGCTATATCGCGGTCGAAATCGCGGTCGGGGACCGTTTTTTAAAATCCTGGTAATAACCTCATGACAAGTGTTACTAGAATGACCCTTGGATTACTCGTTTCACGTAGAGCGGCCCAGTGAATGGGACAAATAGGATGAACAACTGTAACAATAACTCATGACAAGGGCATCACAAGATTTTGTAAGGAAGAATATCACACTTTAAAGAAATTGGTGACATTAATCTTACATTAATATATATATATATATATATATATATAATTTATAAGCAGTTGCATTACACATGTTATCCTATGACACTAGCTTTTGGTAGAATGCTTCGCCTTATTCCTAGATTCAGGTGACAATCGGATATAAGTACTGACTTGATACAAATATAATCAATTTTTTAAACTTCTTCATATGTTTGGATCTAAAATCTATGTTTCAATATGAATCCAACATAGATGCAAACAATGACAAGTTTAACTGTATTATACGTTGATATAAATTCTAATTGATAATTAATTTGTTTAAAATTTAGTTAATAATTAATTAATTTTATTTTTTATAGGTAAGACATATGATGGAGTTGACGATCAAGCAATAAAAGTTGCAGAGATGAGCATATTACCAGAGCCTCGCTAGCTGAAACATTTGTCTCAGGAGCTCCGTGGCTGCACTTCTGGTACCTCTCCAATGTTTTCATCATGCTGTATAGCCATATAATTGATTAAATAATATATAAGATTTATTAATTTTCTTACTCACAATGGAAGATGCATCAATGGAAAAAGATGGGAAAAAAATAAAAATTTTCAGTCTCCTAAAAGATTAGATCTGAGAAAAACTTGGGTGTTTAGAGTTTCATTTAACCTGAAATAATTGAAAATCGAAAACCCTAATCTTCGGGGGAAGCAGCTTTGGGGAAATCAAAACCCTAGAAAAACTCAGAAGCATCCATGGAGACGTCTCCATCCACTTTTCAAGTGATTGAAGTAATAATTATAATTCCCAGAAACAAAGGAAGGAGAGATACAATATAATCCATTGGAAACAAAGGAAGTTCTTTTGTAAGAAAAAAGAAAAGAAAAGACAAATCTGAAAAATAGAAACGACAGTGGCGAAGTCTCTTGTTTGTCTTTCCTGTTTTGATTTTGTAAACATCTCTAACAGGTATACATTGGTTCTTTATCTGTTTTGTTTTTGTTTTTTCAAATGTTTTTTTCCTTCTTCTTACAAATAAAATGAAACCAGTCATCAAACTTTGAAATAAAACCCTAATTATGAGCTGACTACACTGATCAAACATGATTTGTAATAATTTAAGATGAAGATCTAAACTTGACATGGAAAAAAAGAACTTAGAAGAAAACTTCATGTAAAAAAAAGGTTAGATCAGAGATGGAAGAAAATCAGATGATAAAAGATGAAAGAAGAAAGAGATGGAATTAGGGTAATCAATATAACAGTGATGCTGGTTTAGATGTTTTAAAATTGCAGATCTAAACATCAGCAAGAACGGGAAAAACACACAGGCACTGCCATAAACGCCAAGACATTCACCGAAACGGAAAAAACTCAAACATCACTTTATTTCATAAATTTTCACTCTTTTCCCTCAAAATTTTCTCTCAAAAACTTTCAACACCTAAAAACAGCAAAAAAATCCCACCGTTTCAAGGTCAGAATTCAAAGCGAGCTAAAAAGAAAGAGAAAGAGAAAGAGAGAGCTTTCTTTGTTTTATGACCTAAAAAAAACAAGGCCTTTGTGTTTATAGAGAGAGAGAGAGAGAAAGGGGGAGGGGGTTTAGTTGTTTTGGTGATATACCTTGAACTACTGCAAAACTCGTACAGTTTTCCTCTATTGGAGAAGATGATGAGAGCAACCTCGGCATCACAAAGAACCGAAAGCTCATAGGCTTTCTTCAAAAGCCCATTCCTTCGCTTAGCAAAAGTCACTTGCCTGTTAATCTTGTTCTCTATCCTCTTCAACTCAACCCTACCTCTCCCCATTTTCTTCGTTTTTCCCAACAAAAACAAAACACAGACTGTAAATAAGACTATGTTTCTTTTCTTCTTCTTCCTGCCCTTTTTATTCTCTTATCTTCTTCAACTTCATTTTTACAATAATCTAATTCTAATCAAAACCAAAATCTTTTGTTTTGTTTTACACACTAAACAAAATGATAAGACATCCCTAAACAAAAGGGGTTTTCTTTTCCTTTATATCTCCCCAAAGGGACCTATTTTTTTTCGTACGTTCAGCCGTTGGATGGTTGATCCAACGGTGGAGAAAACGAGAGCAGCCAAAGACTGAATAAGCTGGAAAACCTTAACCAATGAATGCAAAGCGTACTGTGCCAGTGCTACTTGTCGACAGGAGAAGTAGATAGGCTTGGTAATGACCCAATTGACCATTTTAGGGTTCGGGCAATCGTGTGACCTAACCTTAAGAAGGTGAACCTTTCGTAATGTGATTTACGAAATTACCCTTCTCGGTGTTCTCTCCGGCTCGGCTTTCCATGTCCGAATCTCTGTCTTTGGTATTTCGGTTTTTAAGACAAATCATTGTCTTAAAGATATCTTTGCAACAAATCCAGATAACGTAATTATAATTTGGTTAAAAAAACAAAACCTAATATTTAATCGCTTAAAATAGTAAAATGATTAATCAAAAACCTTGATTTTTACTAATAATAAGTTTAATTTGCTATTGTTTTACTGAGGTCTGTGCATGCTGGGATTACACGAGTTGTTGAGTCAAATCGGTAACTTTAATGATAATAACAAGAATTGCATGATTAGAACGCAGGCAAATATTACTGAGTGAGATAAGAAAATCTGAAAAGGGAAATGTATGAGTATTGATTATTTCGAAGGTTGGGGAATTTGAAAGAATTGAGGAAGAAACTTGCTAAATGCGACTCTCTCATTTTGTACATTTTGCAAGCGACTGACAAAGTTTTGTTCAAACGATTACTTGTTTTAGATGCTGTATATGTGATTAATTGTTGTATATGTTTTTGCAACCGATTAATCACATTAATTTCAAATAAATGATCTAAAACCCTTATGGTTTAGTTACTTGTTTAACTCAAGGGACAAAACTAGGATAAAATTACGTGACTCAAACTGTTTAATATTTTTCTTGTACTCTTGATTCCTCCGGATTTTACCCTAATTAATCTAAATCGATCTGTATTGTACACCTGACTTCAGTGGATGAGTCTTTTAATAGGGATTTTTTGTATACATAATTAGGGATTAATTTATTAATTTTATAATTTCAAAATTGATAGGTAGATAAATGGAGGCTAATACTTAATTTCATTAAATTTTAAATTAACAGACTAAAAATAAATTTTAATCAGAAAAGTTGGAGGGGCAAAGCCCTCTCACCTTTGACATATGACATCTCATATTAGCTAGACAACTCAAGCGATCTCGGTGGTAAAAAGATGATTGTTATTATTAGTGGGTTCGTGTTCAAACAAGCCATCTGTAAAGATGTTTGAATATTTATTTTCAAATAATTAAATCTTTCTGATAAAAAAAAAACTTTTCACAAGCATCAACAACATTATAATCCAATCAACATTACTTTAACAAGCTTACAATATAAACATGAGTATACACAACTATAAACATCTTTCTTTAAATTGGTAATATATTTAAAGACTGTTCTTTGTTCTTATATTCTAATATGTATTCCAGCAATTATTTTATGCGATTGTGTACATGAATTGCATTTTCGCTCCCACTTGTATGCATTAAGGCATCCGATTCCATATGGTCCATGTTTTTTTTATTGGAAAGCTAGCTAGGGTTACGAACTTGTGATAGTAAATTCACTTCACATATGGATAATTAATAATTTTAATGATTTTTTTTAAAACTTCTTTTGGTAAGGGTTTCGATGTTACATGAAACCACGGAACTGTTAGTCTGACTTTTTTAGGATCTTCATGTTACTCTTCCTTGTAATTTCGTGCAAGGATTAATCAAGAAGAATGGGTGGGGTAGTCGTCTCCTAAAATTTTTAAATTATTCTATAGTTTAATTTTTTTATTGTGTATTTTCTATTAATAATATGCTTTCATCCCTCTAAATATTTTATAATTTTAATTCCTTCTAAAATTTTATATGTTCGTCCCTTATCATAAAATCGTGCACCTATCTATTATCTCCCGAAATGATGTGAGACCTTGAGACTAACATTAAGTCATATTACCTTTTTAATATGATATATATACACACATACATAAGCTGTGTAAAATTTAGGCTCACTAACTTTATTTCTTCAAATGTTATATGTCTTATTTAGAGTCTATAGTCTAGAAGTTTAGGATTTAGATGTTAGAATTTAGGATTAAAATAGATAAAATGACAGAGTCTGTATTTTACACAATCAATGTATTAAATAATTTTTATATTAATTTAGGTTATCTCGAAGTTTAAGAGTGTGGTCATTGACCGAGACACAGTTGTGGGCAATACATAATATCTTGAAGCAGGGGTGGATGCACTAAGTTCCATAGGGGCAAATGCATCCCCATCATTTTGAAAAACTAATTAAATTTAGTTTATTGTGTTAACAAAAAAAATTGGATACTCATTATTTTAAAAAATATTGAAGTTTTGGACATCCATTTTTAAATTTTTGAATCCACCAATATCTTGAAACATGCATGAAATATGAGATTTCAAAATATTGATGTTGAGACGGATCTCATTGTAGCCTATCGGATGATAAAGCAACAATCCAAGGCATTCCAATGTAACTTCGTGGTGACAACAGTGCATATGTTACAGTGACATATTTAGAATTTTTATGGTTGATACATATATAATAATCACACAAAATTTAAACTTTTTAACAAACAGTTAAAATAAATCACTAATTAAAATAAATTTAAATTTTAAGATAAACACGTGACTATCTTAAACGCCACCGCCTGTTATTGCAGTTGGAAAGGAGAATGGAGACTCTATATGTATGCAAAATGAGTGTTACAGTAGATGCGATGGCGACGATGAGTTATAGGAAGAATATTGGTGAGGCCCTCTTTGATAATCTTCCTTCGAGGTTGCGAATTTGGTAGATTTGGAAGCCCCTGGAAGTCTAATTGTCTGGTGAAATTGAGTTTTTTTTTTGTATTAAAAAATATTTTCTCTTTAATATATATTAATTGTTAGAATTGAAATGATCAAAATTTTCTATTAGTCCTTTCGTTATGTGAAAATTATGGATCTAGTTTATATTCTCTAATTTTATCAGTTTTAGCTTTTTTTTATTTTAAAATTTTAATCATCATCCAAGAAATAGCTGTGAAATTTATTAAGTTGAGGTCTATTTTTAAATTTTATATTATATATAAATTATAAATTTATTTACTATTTTTAAATTTTATTATTTTAAATATGTGTAATTTATTTACGGCAAAGGGACCATGAGAGAGGTTGATAGAAAAGCTAGAGCATAGAGACAAAATCAAGAGTCCAAGACCATGCGGGTTCCTCTTTCTATTCTAAAGTGAGGCCACTTTTCCATGGCTGCAATCATGCACCCCTAGAGGACCAGCCACTATGCTTCTCCCATCCACTGTTTTGAAAACCGGAATTGGACCGGCTGGTTCAATCGGTTCAATCGAGAATCGCTGTCTAATCCGGTTCAATCTACATCGGTTGAACCACTACTAGTGAACTTGCCGGAACCGCTGAACCGTTCGAACTGGACCGGCTGAAAACCAGAAAAAACCGTCAATTTAAAAAAAAAAATTAAACCAAACGACGTTGTTTGTTAAACGAGCCAAGTCGAACTCGAGTATTGTTGAGCTCGACTCGAACTTGAAAACTTTAAAAGTAAGCTCAACTCGACTCAAACTCACGAGTTAAAAATTATCAAGTTCAACTCGAACTCGAAATATAATATTGAAACTTGAACTCGAAAAGGCTTGAACTCAAAAAAAAAATTAGAAGCTCGATTGAAGCCTAAAATTCGAGTTTGATTGAAGTGAAAGAATAGTTCACTCAATGCTCACCAAAATGATCTATGATTTTGAATGACAAATTACCTCTATTATTTATAGAAGTTAGTTGAGATGCTCTTCTATGTTTCTTAGCCATGTGAGATTGTTTTGTTTTCATATTTTCTCTTTAGACTTTTAGGATGCTTCTATGTTTCTTAGCCATGTGGGATTGTTTAAAAAAAATTAAACCAAACAATATCATTTTGTTATAATTTTTTTAGCCCCAAATTTATTTTTTAATTATAGTTATATAATTATATTTATTATTTAATATGATTTACCTTAAATATTATGTTGTAGTTAATTTGAATCATTTTGTTTCACTTGATTTTATGGTTTTTAACTTAATATATGTTATGACTTGCTTTGAATATGACTTGTGATATAAAAAATTATTTTTTATTAAATATTTTTGGTATTTTTATTTAATTTTTTAAATAATTATGATGTCGTTCGGTTCTTCCGACCGATCAAACCGATTTGATCGATTAAACCAATAAACCAATAACATGATCGGTTCATTAACCAGTCCGATTTTAAAAACTATTCTCCCATCAATATTCAACGGGGACGTGGCTAATGTCCCGCACAAATATTATAATAAAAAAAGAGTTTCCTCTATTTGAAAGCGATATATAACCAATCTCTCTGCCTTTATTACATCGCCTCAATCATCAATCCCGCTGGCCCATTTGAAAGAGAAAGTTTTCAGTAAATTAAAAAAGAAAACACCGTATTCCGGTACTTGGTAAATATTTTTCGGTCCGAATCAGAATCGTCGATTAATTCATCGTCGATTCGAACAGTCGGGACTTGAAAATTTTAAGAGAGGGAAACGTAGGTGGGTGAGTTGGATTGGGGACCAGTTTAAAAGGAATCGGAGGTGTGAATTGAAAAATCCAAAGGGTAAAGGTACATAATTGAAGGTAGAGGGATGGGGTGAGCAAATGTCAGATTTTTATTTCCGTTTTAAGGAAGACACTGTCGACGTCAACTTTGTGACACGTGGAAGTTTTTCCATTTTCGGATACTTCTCAGTATGGAAGTCACGTCTAGTGGGGTTCTCCATATATTGGAAGTCTTTATCACCAACCACACACGTCTGCTCAATCCTATGCTTTTAGTTTTATGTATAAACGAACACGATAT